GTACCGCTCCCCATTGTATATTGTACCTTATTATGCATTTACACGGTTATCGTTATTAGAGTAGTTTTCATACGCGTTTGCTACTTTTTCTTATGACCTCTGCATATGTGTGTTCGTCGTGGTGCTTACCAACTGTGTTTAGTATCCCTACGAACTGCAAGTGACCGCAGGTGCTTACTTATGCGTATGTGTGCCAACCTCGACGTCGTTGGCCGTCATAGTTTCTTTTGTGAAATGCGTGGTCTGGCTCTTTGTTTCCAGGTTTGGGCACCTTTGTGTCTCACAACCTCCAGCTAGACCTTCTTTTTACGGTTCGCTGTCCGCTTGCTCGCTTCATAGTCAGCAGATTAGCACTCCGCTTCCCTGCATTCTTTCACCTATTTCATGAGAAAACCGCCCAGGCAAAGCAAGTGTATGACGATAGGACGATTTGCAAACCTGTATGCGTATATGTGGACATTAGTTTCGTACGTGCTACATGAACCTGTACAATAAGAAATCGCACAAGTCAGTTTATTTAACTAATGAAAGTTAGTGGGATATAGGATTGTTCTTTAAAAAGCGAAGCCTTTGCGACGTAAGCGTAATTTATGTAAAAATGTAAAAGCAACACCAGTGAGTCGTAACAGAGTGACGATATCGGGATTCCGTAATATCTGCGTTTCCCCGATGTTTGCTCTGGCTAGTCTATCGATACCAATTCGATATATCACCAATGGGAACTTAGCGTTTTCGGCGCTAATCCGCCATGCGACGCTCTTTGGAAGACATTCTTTCAACATATGATTTTGTGACCCAGACGCTCTAAACAAACCGTTAGGGAATCGCGCTCACTCCGGCAGAAGGGGTCCTCAGGAGAGACTTGTTGTACTTTGCAGGTTATCCACGTGGTTCTCACTCGATCCCGTTGCTAGCTGCCTCAGGCGTCAGACTGGTCTTTGGCTCGGGTCGAAGAGGTCCCCGATGGCTTGACCAGAGGTACATCCTGAGGAATCCCGTGTCCGTCAACTGTCGGGCAGCCGCATTGCCATTATGGGGGGAACCAAATGACTACCACGTTGGAGTGAACGCTGGGGAATGAAAATCGGACATGGACCACCCAAAGGTAAAAGTCACCGTCTGGGTGAATTGGCTTGGAGGGAGAGGACGAAGAGTGGGCGGGGAAAGTCAGATTTTATTTCGGTCTCGAGACGCTTGAAGGACGTGATGATTGCAGCTCTCATGTAGTGGAAGCAGGAGGGAATGGTTCGGGTAATCGTCCTTAGAAAGCATATCCTGTGGTAACCGAAGACATCTGATCAACTTTAACTACCCAAGGTCATCCCTTCCAATGATAAAAGTCATAAAACTGTGAGAGCTAGTTTTTGTGCGTAGAGCAGTTTGCCTGTTGGTCAGAACAAGGCGGTCGTTCGAGGGCGCATGAGTTGAGAACCAAGCGGTGAGTGTGATGATCGACATCGCTTTCAGTAGTATTTGCCTCTACTGCCTACTCGTCGGATCGTTTCCCGAGGCCGTGGTAGGTGACTTGCATGACTGCAGACATCGACCCGTTGCAGCTCTCCGTTGCTGGTGATGCCAGACCAGACCAGAGGGCTTCTCCGATGTCAGCTTGCTCTGCTGTTACGCCAGTTAGCTGCATGTTACACTAGTTTTCGCCTCTGACCGCAACAACCAAGCGTCGACCGAGTGAGTAGTAAGGCTACTTATGTAACGCTTCGGTGTACTGATCACCGCGATAATCAGACTTCTGGTAAATAACATACTCCTGCAGGAGATAATGCGGTAATTTGGTGGGCATGGACAGAAGGGGCAGTGCCAGGCATTCTGTCTGTCGGTCTGAAGGTTTGTTTAAAAACTGTGCCAGTATACAGAAACTCTTCTTTTGCAGTCTGTATCCTGTTAACAGTCGGTTTTATCTTTGGCTAGCCGATGGTAAATTTAAACGGGGTTTTTCATTTTTCAGACAGTTTGGTAATCGAAGTACTTAGGACGCTAAACACCTGTTCCATTCCAGACCACCGGCAGTGAAGCTTTGTCGCCCAGTCTGTCTCGGTCGCATCTTCACTCTTTCGAAGTCCATCTCTACGTTCAGTAGGGCCGTGTTTGCTCAGAATATTTTCAACTACCGTATGGCCTCACCCTTGGTTCAACGCGGGGGGTTGAGTACATGAAGCTGCTACGCAACTCTTCTCACTGATCTGCATATGAAGTGCTGCCGTGTTCTCATCACATTTGCTTACAGGGGACCGATAGTGATATGGAAAAGATTTCTAAGTTCATTGACCTAACAGCTTGCGTCAATGAGATTAAGATTTTCTCGAATTTCATACTTAATGAAGATACACCGGTCGTACAAAATACTTACGTTAGAGTCGACTCGGGGAGCCGCCCGAGGTGCCTTAGGGTGTCTTCTATATGGGGCATCCTGCCTTTCCTGATGGACACAGCCCGTCAAGGCTCCACCATTTTTCAGAAAGCACTATGAGTCCATCGTGTGACGGGCATTTTCGCTAGAGTTCGGATTTGCGAGACTGCCGTGCGGTTAGTACTCTGTCACAATTAAAATTCCAAGCAATGAAAACTGTGAGTGAGGAGTTAGTCAACTGTCTCAATTTCCGCTGCCTGAGAGCACCGTATTTGCATTTCAAGTAGTTCGCTAGCCGGGCCACTCCCGTTACGGCGTCCCGGCTAAAATTTCTTAAATTAGTTGAGAATGGCGATTCCTGAATGAATTCGTTGTCGCCCAGCAATGAATGATGTGGCGGGCGACCAGGGCGGCGATTTGTGGAAGTTGATGCTGTCTACCGATATCTCTGAATTGAGCCCCTCTCCCACTGCACTGCTTCCATCTTCCCCGTTTGTGGTTGTCGTTCTCCGCCGGTGGCATTTCTTCTCTGTCAACTACCAATAACCGATTTTTCGGCAATTACATACAGTCACGACTGGACGCTGAGAATTTTTCATTGGATAGAGTCGGGCGATTAAGGAGCGCCGAAATTTGTAAAATGTCAGCAGGAATCCATAAATGTGTTGTCGTGTGATAAAAGTATACTCTTGTGCGGTTGCGCAGTCACCCTGTCGTGCGGCGGGTTTCCATCTCCAAGTTGGATATGAAGAGTTTGCCTGTTTTGCTCAATCACTTTGTCAGAAATCGCACTGCTCCTAGATTAAGTTTATGGGAAGTCCAGCCACTTTGGAATTCAAAAAGTTGAGAAACGCCTGTGGTTTTTGAATAAGACCCGCTGTGTGTACTCCCTGACTACATCGAGATCTGTTTTATGTTCCACCGGGGGACTTTTAAGAGAATGGTTATGTAAATATGCATACCCAGAGAACTTGATACGCTTCGAAAACGTGCCCATTAGTCCCGTAGTCATTCCACTGGTCATCCGAAAAGTATCAAAGGTGCGAATCTATCCAAATGAAGTGGCTTTCTTCAAGTAGGAGTTCGTGTTGCGCTGTAATAAGTCTAAGGGGAAGGAATTTTTGTTGATTATTCTTAAAATAGTCGATTGTATTTACGCATTTGTTGGAAACCCGAGGCAACCATGTATAATGCATAAGTATAGGCTTAATTGTTTCTGCAGACCAACTGTGTGCCATTTTCTGCTTGACAACATACTTCAGGCATTTACTGGCTTTCCGACCCCATTTCTGCTTAAATTCCGATTCTCGGTGCATCTCTTTTCGTCACCCAACGTTCTGCATACATTCATTTTTTCATACGTTGGTTCATAGAAGAGCATGACCCTTCCCCTGACGCTTTCTGTCTTCTAAGTTTTCCTCATCGCATTGTGCTACGTTTCTGATCCGAAACCCCTTTCCCTAGTAGATTACTGCATCTGGATGTTGACCTTTGGACACATTAGAAGGTCCAAATCACCCTCTGATGATAAACAATTAAGACATTCCGATTGGCATGCCTCTGTCTACTCCGAAGGTATTCATTTTCCCTCCTCGTGTCTAAACCATTCTTCGCTCAGGCGGCAATGTGAAAATCGTCTGTGGGTCACGAGTTGATTCCTTCGACTTTGACCTCCTCTGTGTGGCCTCTAATTCCAAGTCAATTTTCCTGACAAGTCATTCTGGGAAGGTGCTCGCCTACAGCAAGGCATCCGGCAGCTGTGAGGAGCTGCCGCTCCCAGTAGTTAAAAGTTTCGCCGCAAATGACGAAGAACTGTTCGGTGTAACAGGTTCCATCTCCTGCCAGGACTTAAATAGACCCCTTTAGATGACAATTTTGTGTTCTCTGTACCCGCTTCAATGACTGAAAGCGGCAAGAAAGCACATCTCAGCTTCCCGCTCTCTGTGAAAGTGAAATCTGTGGCCTGTGGTGCTGGCTTCGCTGTCTTCTTAACGCCATCTGGAGTCCTCTTCAGCAAAGGCATCGGGAGGTAATTGATCTGAGTAGCACACTGTTATCGCTAGTCGCGGCCAACTAGGTCATGGTGATCTGGAGTCGAGGGACACACCGGAAATAATCTCAGCTCTTCAGCCGGTGACCGTCGTCTCAATTGCCTGCGGTCTCTGGCACTGTGCCTGCCTGTCAGGTTGGGTGGAGTATTTCGCCTCTAACCTGGCTTTTTTCCCCTAGACGTGGGTGATGTCTACACTTGGGGCTCTAACGAGTACGGCCAGCTGGGACTGCCTTCATTGAACCTGGAAAAGTCGCGCAGCGGCAACGATCCGACCTTCTTCTCGGAGTCCGCGGTCAACGTTTGTGCTCTTCCCTCTCCTGTCGATCTCCCGAGTGATGCTAATGTCACTGAGGTATGCTTATTCTGCAGTTTCCGCCACAAATTAGCGTGAAATCCACTGCCATTACTACTACTACTACTACCACTTTGGTAGTGTTAGTAGTTGTTGTTGTGTACTACGTGTAGTAGTGCAGCAGCCATCTGTATATCTGCAGTTAACTCCACCCACTAATTTGTCGAAATTCGCAATTGTAACTAAAAAGTCTCTCGTAAAACTCAATTCAGTAAAAACAGAATAGCACTTCTTTATACTACGGTAAGGGAAACTTTCCGTTTTGTCATCCACGGATAAAGCAACAACTGCACTGTTCATGACGTAAAGGAATTTTGATTTGTTTACTCCCCTTCCCCACGCCGGTACCCTCGCGAGTGCGCGGTAGGATAAATCGTTCGTGGGATAATGAAGGCAATGTCAGATGCAGACATCCACCAGCTCTGAATATTTCTGAACCAGTACTTATCTCTTCCCCCCTCCCCCCCCCTCCGAGTAGATATATCGCCCGACTGCCACACCCTGTTCACGCGAATGTGGTTCCCTGTTTGGGACGAACCAGCACCAGTGGCATCCCCGTTTACTCAATATCTGTTGTTTCAGCCAAAGGCGCACGCCTAATTGGTCAGTATTCTTATGCTTTTGCCATCGGTTGGTGGCTCTGCATGACTTCCTGTTTAGGGCTCAGGAACTTTCGTCCAATTTTATATTATAATAAACTTAAATTAGTTACAGCTGCCTCGCAGGCATTCAGCATAATTGCGCGCGATGGCAACGCAACGGACAAACGGTAACCAATTAACGGACGTGTCAGATCTAGTGTCTCGATAAATAGATGTCATCCGTATATCTACTCAATATCTATTTCTACTAGGGCCGTCTTACAGTTAGATGCAGGAACTTATGACACTGGAGGCACTGAATGACTTAAACACGTATTTGGCACCCTCCGCCAAAATCCACGCTGATTTCATTGTTGCCTCGCGTCACAGAAGACGGTTATAAAGAATATAGAGGTGCATGCAACAACTGCACCGCATCTGTTGCTGGTTGCTCTCTTTCTTAGACTCAGCGCCCCAGCAACTGCTCTAACGGCATCCACCAGTATTTTATGGTAGTCCTCGTCAGATATGGCATTTATATTCGAACTAGCCGATATTAGGATGGGCATGGTCGCCTTCGGAGACAATTGCGAAAACTGCTCGTCCTTAATTAATCTACGAACAGAAACCGACAAGACAACGAACCCGTGGCTCAGTGGTTAGCGGCGTCGGACTTCTAACTAACAGGTGGTGGGATCGAGCCCCAGATGTTCCACACTTCGGGTTGGGTATGACTGGCTGACGACGGCTAATAAGCCAGAAATGGCCATTCCAGTTTCCCTTTTCTTTGCCGGTAATACCCAACTGGTCGTTGTCCTGCAGGTAACAGTGTGATAGAGCACCAGTCGCGGAAACTGAAAATTCCGACCGTTGCTTATTTGACGATGGGTGATCGGCCGCTCCTTCTTTCACTTTATCCCATTTTCTGTCTTGTGGCCTTTTTCCCATCGAGATTGCTTGCGGCAGTAGGCACACCGCCTGCCTCACAGAGACTGGCGAGCTCTTCACCTTCGGCTGGAACGGTGCCGGCCAGCTGGGCTTCCAACCGAAATTTTCGAGTCCGGAGGAGGCTGCTGGACAGTATTCGCACATATTTGCTTCGGATAAACCCCAGCGCGTGGACTTGGACCTGAGCGGTCAGAGGGTCGATTTAAAGGTGGCTTGTGGCCAATGGTCCACGTTCATGTACAGACAACCGTCCCTTTAGCGTTACGTCCCCTTTGCGGGTCTCGTTTTTTTAATAAAAGCCTTTTTAATAGCTCTTTGTTTTATAGAGTTTTGGGCTCTTGTGGCCACTGGCTGGCGATTAGTTTGCGAGCACGCCTTCTTCGATGTGATCAACACACGCACGTCTCTACTATTCCTGGGTGACCACTGGTGACTGATGTGTTAATTTTTAATTATGCCAATGGGGGCTCGCACTTCGGGCCCCGCACTTATCGTTTGTCAGTGGCGAGTCATGGCCAAGGCAATCGAATATGCACTTGAACGCAACGGTTTACCGAATACAAGACTTCCGTCTACGTGTATTGATGTCATTGCCCATAACCAACCCAGACTTTATGCACGAATTCATCGGCGTACTTGGACTTGGTACGGCTGCGATCATGCCTGATCTAACCGGCCCCGTTGACGTCCCGAACTGTGCCTCTCCACGCGCGACGATCAGCGGCAGCTGATCTGGACATTTAAACCCACTCTCTTCGCCAACGACGGAGACTGAATACCGAAGGTCCATGAACCACCTCCATGTCTTGACGAACTGTGTCGAGTCAGGTTTCAAATTAACCCCCTCTTCGACGCATCCAATGGGATAACGGTGCCGCATCGGCGTTGAGAACGCAGCACTTGTCTTCGGGTTTCAACCAGCCGCATGTGCGGTTCGCGGAGTGTGGCTGCATCCAGATGGAGTCAGAATTATTACCTGTTGCGGGCCGGCGCAGCACGATAGCTTCACTCCCCTTGGCTGTCGACGCGCACCTCAGTTTAAGTGCCATATTGGGAGGACGGCAACAGCGAATTTTCCAAAACGAAATCAAGAGAGGCAGAATATAGTAGACAGCCTCTACTGTTGGAGTGTACGTAGTATGATTAACCCATAAAAACCAGAGTTGTCATGTCCCATAGAATTTTACTTTAACAACTCTACTCGGTAAAATTAGTCATTGGCCCTAGAAATGGCCGAAGCCCAGAGCATAGGTGGTTAGGCACAGTGCTAGCGGGACGTTGCATGCTAAACCATTTTTCATATGGTGGGGAATAAATCACATAAGAGGTGGAGGCGTGAACAATTAATCGCAGCCGGCCAAAAAGTCCACGAGCAGGGTGAAAGATTATAAAGTTGTCGGCGTTTCTTCTCGACGTGAGACCGGAGGCCGAAGACCACGAATAACATCACTGCGAAAGGTGCACTGAGCGGAATCGCCGCCAGTTGTGGAAGTTGCTCTCAATTGTAGATAGCAAGTGTGTTAACAGGGATGAATTGACGATACCTAACTGCACGTGTCAGAGGGAGAAATAAGGAGGCCACTGGATGACCATTACACCAAAGGTGCTCAGGATACCTTAAAGCAATCAGGGGGTTAAACGTACGACAGTTTAGGAGTTTATGTATCTAAAGTAGCCCCTGTCATATTCGACGAAATTAGAAAATATCGCGGATCGTGATCCCACAACGCTTTTTATAAGCCAGATCCCAATATACCAAGATCGAAGTCCTTTGACAAAAAATATCTTGGATTCACCTTCCCTGCTCTCATCAGCTCGCAGGAGACTAAATAAGATGAACAGCATTTTAGCCCAGGTTAAAGGTACATTTTGTGGGGATAGATTCTACTGTTGTCAGTCCTGAAATTATGGAGGATAAATCCGGTCGTTCTACGTGCTTTGGAGACAGGGTGCGATGCTCCTAGGGAAGGGTGCACTTAGATCCTTAGTAGTTCCTGATGCAGTGCGTTAACAAGGTTACTGATGCTGTCTGACTGAGTCTGCGAGAGGCAGAAATCAGAAGACCATGCAGTGACCATTGAGCCAAGGGTGATTAAGATGCTGTTGGCGTTCTTGTCATGCGCAGATCTGATGCTCATCTCAGCACTTCGTTGAACGAAGAGGTGACGGACACAACCCAGGCCCCCAACCGGATGGTGTGCATACGTTGCTGTGCCCAAGGCGCTCATCTATAGGGTATGGACGCACTGATGCGATTCGAGGACAAAAAAGGTAACTCAGTGACCGACTAGCAAAACAACTTTACCAGCCACTGTCTCCGTGCGCGTCCTGGAAGAACGAACAGATAACTCCTAACACTGACACCCTCTTTTTTTGTCTAAGGAATGAATCATGAACAACAGAACGCCTTGTCATGGAGCCTTACGTGGGTATCCTTCACTGTCCGACGGCTGCGGCCCGTACCTGGGTCAACTTGTCTCATGTGAGCAATCTGGCGCAGTCCATCACATTCAGTGTCGCGACCGTTCTTGCCGCTTTTCAAGCCAGACAGCATGACGAATCTGGTCAGGAATATGTAAACACAAACAGGCAGTTCGGAAGGGCGACCGCTACCCAATCCCTGGGGAAAGACCACAAATACGTGAGAAGACAATTAATCAGCACGATAGGTGCTGTACACCTGGGTCTCTGACGGCAGCCACGCGACCAGACAAACTGATCTATCTCCCGCCTCCTAGTATTACGCCTAAGGCCTGTAGCAGCTGCTCCAGTCCCCCTTTTCTCCGGCTCCCTTTTGTC